AATTCACATTTATTATTGAACAAAAAAATTCCCAAGTCGAACTTAGATGAGAGTGACGTATATCCGGTGTGTCGAACTGTCGCCTTTTCATACCGTCAACATCGGACTCGATGACCAATTAGTGCTTACTGAACCGTAGCACTATGCAAATGTCATGTGGCATGATCCCCGGCCGACCAATTAGCCATCACCAGCCGTAACGTTATGCAAATCTGTGATTCCCAAGCCATAGTCTTATGCAAATCATGCCGTGTAGCGTAATTGTCTGCTGACCAATTAGTGGCTGTACTTTCAAAAAGCCAACGGTCACTTTCAACCACCTGTCGATGACCGTTACGACTAAAAGAAAACTTTGCTAGGTCTTACTTTCAGGGGTAGGTCTTATATTTCGCAATTCAGCAAAATCTGTGCTAGGTCTTATTTTCTGCGAATGTCTTATTTTCGGGGAAACACGGTACGAATAAACCAAACCTAAAATAATCTGACAGTCATTAGGTTGCTAGAGTAGGAACCGCTTAATCACTTTTTAAATAATCAAACTCGATACTTTTAGTACTTGAAAACAGGAATGTCCTTACGCTTCATCAATAAGTTTAGATTTTGTATTCGAATTTTTCTTTACATTGACAAAAAAGTATAATTATATAAATATTTTCTAAACCAAAAATACGACGAATTGTTTCAAACGTGTAAATTTTTATATACTTTTCAGGCCCTGTGGGCACTAAGAGGACCTTTTTTTCATCATTAGCGTTATTAGACCAACCAGCAAACTGAGTTCCATGAAATTAAAAGTCCCTGTTTACTGCTCTGAAAAGTTCACTTGCCGCTCCCTTCGACGGTTGCCAAAAGTTAATTAATCGTCAAGCCATCATAATAGAGGGTCCATCCTCATCAATTACAAAACCGTAAGTCCTTTTACTCATGTTGCTATATTGTGTAAGCAAAAGACAAGTTAACCTTAATTCATCAATCTATGTAGATGCACACATGCCACGTGTATTTAACTTAATGTTTCTACGTTCTATACTTACAATATTACACTAAATATTCACTTTGTAAAATGCGACCGTAAATACGAATTTCTCTTTTCAAATAACTCGACATTTCTTTCAGATTAAACTCTTTATACAATTCTTTTCTATATAAACAAGACTTTTCTGTAGTGACTTTCTTACACTACATTAAGACAGATGACCGAACGATTAAGGTAACCACTCTGGGGACCCGAAAACGAATCCGGGAAAATAAAAGTCCGAATAAAACTGTTAATATGTAGTTTTAATAAATTGATATTGGTTTATTTGATTCGAACTGTCGCCATTAACAAATAAGAAGATTTTTTTATTGGGCCCATCGTGGTTTCGGCCAAGCTCATAGTGGGGGCGGGTGGTAAGGAACTGGCCCAACACATCCAGGAAGAACCGCCCACAAAAAAGAGTTGGAGAATTGGAATCCGAGATTTTTCGGAAACGAATCCGAATGGATAGAAAAGTCCCAGGAAGTTTTCGGACAGTGGTCCGTTCGGATATGTCGGGCCCCATTCTTTACCCCCAGGTAGTCCAATTGTGGCTTGGCCAAAACAATGATGGATTCACATGTATCACGTATATCATACATAACACATATCAGACATAAATCATGTATGAGTACCTGAAAATATGTGTGATATATAAATGAACATTATTTTAAAAGTAATATAGCTCTAAAAATTAATTTTTGTTTGACTAATTAGTTTTTAGTATCAAAACATTATTATTAAAATACTTTGTTTACATAATTTATATTAACATCAAATTATAATTGTTGATAAAAGTTTTATTACTTTTATGCTAATTTTACAGTACTGTACTCTATATACAAAGGATCACTAAAATACAATACTAAAAACAAAGGGAAATATGTATAAGGGGATTAGTTAACTATTTAACACTTACATTTGATGCATTCAAAGTTTCACTATTTGATTCTCCTGATTGCTGTTGCAGTAATGCAGGAAATTCAGCCACAACATTATCTGAAAATAAATACCTGCACAACATTATCTGAAAATAAATGCTTATAACTTTATTTAATAAAGTTATTTTGTCATTTATTATTATTAACTGCTTTATTACTGTTTAGTTTTGATCGAGTATAATTAGATAAACAAATTTACCTTCGACAGGGACATTAAAATCGGCATTGCTGTCAACAGGATTTGAGAAAGGCGTAAATTGCTCGGGGATTAAGGAGAAAATTTGTTGAGTAATTGGTGGCATTGGACACTCGATATCGGCACATATTCCTTTTCCAGTACTCATCTGTGCTCGCTTATTTGATGCCACATCTTTTCTTGCTTTTTGTTTTAAATTTTTCCACAAAACTTTCAAGTTTTTTGTGTCCCATTTACTAACCTCCGGAAACTTATTAAATTCTTCGGTTAGAATTTGCCACATTTCATTTTTTTTCTTTAAGGATATGGCATTCGTTTCCTTTGATTCGATTATATCTTTGTATTTTTCGATTAATTCCATTAAATACTCTGTTTCTTGATGAGAAAAATTGGGTTGTCGACTTCGTTTTTTGTTGTCTGCCATGTTTGTATCTAAGCGCGTATTACGTCTTTCCGAAATATCCAATCGAGTAACGTGTAAGAAAATTTTTTAGTAACGCTGGTGTCGAGATTATCAGATTCACTAATCCTGTTCTTAATATCTCGGGATTTACTAATCCTTCGCTAAAATTTGTTGGTGAAATCCTCGCGTCAGTAATCTCGGTATTAGTCTAATCGCTGGATTTACAAATACCACGATTAGGCAATGTTGGTGAAATACCCTGTAAGACTTATATGCATGGGTATGTTTTATATTTTTATGAATTCTACAAAACTTGTGTTTTTTATATGTATGTTATATTCTTTTTTAATGTTTTAGTTGGCTGAAGAGGGGCTTAAGAGCCCGAAATGTGTAAAATTTTCACACGTATCAACTAAATAAAGATGAGGAAACCCGCCAAGTGTCTTAATTTATAGCACTTTATTGTGTTAGAAGCATAAACAAATTGTAAAGCACGGTTTCATATCATCAAAATAAGAGCTGTATTTTATTAAAGATTTTATAAATAACAAGGAACAATTTCCCATGGACAAATGAGATACAATACAGTTTCTAATTGATGGATGTAGGTTTAAACCAGGGGTGTCCAACCCGCGGCCCAAGGCACATTCCAATGCAGCCCAATAAATGTATAAACAAAACTGACAAATTTTTTATTATTTATTTATTTATTTATTTCAACAGCATAAACCTCAAAAAAGAAGTTTCAGAAAGCCGTAAACCTTTATACATATTTTTTTTTAATAGAAAGGAAATATTTTCAAATACTTGTGTGAACTGCAGGGGAGGTCAGTTCACTCCACGTTTTCTTTAAAATTGCACTTAGTGTGATTTTAACTTATTGGATGTGCCCACATGGATCTAATCGCCTAGGAACTCCACAAAGGTTGTTGGTGGATTGAGGTATGTATACATTGGTTTAGATACCTCAATCCACCAACAACCTTTGTGGAGTTCCTAGGTGATTAGATCCATGTGGGCACATCCAATAAGTTAAAATCACACTAAGTGCGATTTTAAAGAAAACATGGAGTGAACTCCTCCGAGAGGGGGTAAGAACCCCACTTCTGACACCTCCGTTGAAGTTCTTTGTTCTGGAAAGTTGTTTGTTGGTTCGATCGGGATGCTGGATGAAGTTCGTTTCTTTTCCTTCCTTTGGGTTGAGGTGACGACGCTGCACTGTTCTTAGTCAAAAATAATAGTTAAAAGTTACTAATAACTGATTTAGGAAAATCTTGTCACTAAGTTTGAACTAGAGGTATATTGCGTTACAAAATTGTTGAATGACGTTCTCTCTCCGCAGTTTATTTCTACTCTATCGAATAAGGAAATATAAAATTCTTTCTCTACCACATATAGAATTTTAAGCTAACTCTAACTTTGAATATATTGATGCAAAATTAGGATATACATGGATATAATTGATATATAAACATAAAAATAATGCTTGGATATCGAGTACCCTAATAGCTTTGATTAATAAGTTTGCGTGCTAATTGGTTAGGGTCATCTCGGTTGTTTCCTCGGTTCTCTTGGGAAGTACTGGGTTGTATGTCAGGTGGAGGGTGATTTCCTCTTTCACTAAGGGATATTTCTTCCGGGTCATCTTCGGAAGGATGTGGTTGCTTCGGGGAACGAAGTTTCCTGTGATGTAGGTGGCATTGGAAGATATAAACAAGACAAAATTCCATACTAATCGTACCAAGGCAACTTGCAATTATCACCATTATCGTAGAGAGGTTGGATGAGGGAGTTGATTTGGTTGTCCTCCTTAATAGATGATTGAGGTCATAGGTAACGTCTGATAAGGATCAGTCAGCTAAAGTGATATCATGATCCAAGTTCAATTTTAGTTTTTCTTGAATTTGTGGTTCCATGAGACGTTCCTGAAGCAGTCAAATTTCCATTTGGTTTATAAGTTGTTCTGTGAAAATGTACATCGCGGACAGGAAAACACAGACACGTTTTACTAATTAAACAAGTTAAATTTCGCGCTAACATTAATATATATACAGAATAAGTTCGGATTCCTGCTGTTTCCTACAAACGTTCCAAAATCCTGAGCGATCAGATATACCAATAGACCGGTAGTTACTTTTCCAATAACTACCTCCTGACAAATCTAATTGCACGCGTAAACTTAAACTAACTTAAACTAAAAGATAGGAAAGGTAGAAGGGGAAGTAAGAAGAACTAAAGGACAGAGGGTACCCAATTTTTTTGTTGGTTCTCCACCATTCCTTGTCTCAGCTTCTTTCTGCAGCTGTTCCCCTTTTAAAACAATTCGGGTCTGTTTCGGGGTTTCCTTTTCTATAATCAACGATCGGATTCTTCTGCTGATCCGATTCTTATGGCCTCCTTCTGCAGCGCTTCCCGACTTTCCGTTTCGGAGTCTGCTGCCGCTCATCCTTCTCTCTCGGAGTTCGGCCCAAGAATAATTTTCGAATCTTTCTTTTTCCCCTCCAGCCTTGTTGTCGTCTATTGTTCTTGCCCTACCTCCTGATGGGTTAGGGGTGAGGCGAGTTCTCCAAAGTCCGAGACAAAGGAACAAAGAAATTGAAAGGAAGGAAAATTCTAGAATTTAAATTAAACTAAAACTATACAGGTTAATAATAATAATAAAAATAATAAACAGGCGTGTAGCCACAGTTCGATTTGCGGAACTACTAAGTGTTTTGCCATTTCCAGTTGTAAGATTGATTGTCTTTGGAAATGTGAAGTGAGGATAATTCCTGGTAGGTATCTTGTACATGTATTTGGGAGATTGATTATCCCAGTATGATTCAGTTTGTGAGTTGTAGATATATAAGACGATTTCTGAGGTCTAGTAGGACATCTAATAGTGATGGTGAGAGGTTTAGGTGTAGAATAAATCCAGGTTCCTTGTCGATTTATTTTCTTTAAAATAGGAGCATATCTTGCGACAATTTGTCAATTACAGAGTCCTACGGACTTGAGTTTCAATTCCGTTAAATAAAGCATACTCACAGCTTTGTTGCAGAAATCGTTGAATAGGAACATTTAATGAACAAATAGGANAACTCCAAGACATTGTAAAATCATTAGTTCATATAATAATCTATGATATTAAATATTGAAATGTTAAATAAACCAATAATCATACATTGAAAAAATAGTGTAGACGTCAGATATGTAAATTTATATTGTAGAAGTTATGTAAATTCGTATTATATTGTAAATGCGTATCAAAGGAAATAAGGATTTCGTAAAACAGATTATGAGTGTAAGGCATAATCAATTATATGCTAATTTGATAATTGTGGTCCAAAGTATGTTTAAAGTCAAGGATTTTGTAGAACTGTTTATAAGTGAAAGGTATAATCAATTGTATACAGCTTTAATAACAACCGTACTCAAGGTATGCCTTAATTGAAGATAGTTTTATAGATTCTTATGTATACTTTTGTATATATGTGTCATATACCCTAATATTATAGTTGATTATGAATAAGCTGATGTTACTGGAAAATATCGAGAGTAACTGTTACTGAAACAGAAATAAGCTGTTACTTCAGTCTATAACCCCCTATTTCACCAACAGACGATTAGGCAAATCGCAGGATTAATAACTATCACTAATACAGGATTACTGATTTTGCGTTCCACCATTCTAAGATTAGACGTAATCTGGCATTAGTAACTAATCCACCAAATTCGGGCGATTAGTGTACTAATCTCGGCAAACATGGCGGAAGATTTGTCTTACTTTGCAGAGTATGTGTATGAAAACGAAATAATACAAAATTACTTTCGAATTCCACGACGATTAGTTTGTGATCGATCCAATCCTATTGAAAAGCTTGACGATCAACTGTTTATCGAAAGGTATAGGCTTTCTAAAAGAACTGTTATACTTGTATGTGACGAAATCAAGCACCTCTTGCCATCATATAATACAAGAAGAAACCATCCTATATCGCCTCTATTGCAGTTATTGATCACTTTACGTTTTTATGCCACTGGAAACTTTTATCACGAAGTGGGAGATCTGACTTCAACATCGAAATCAAGCGTATGTAGGATAATTAAAACTGTATCTAAAGCTTTGGGGAGCCTTTCAAAAAAGTACATCGCATTTCCATCGACCATGCTGGAATATAGAAAAGTCATTAAAAAATTTTATGATATTGCTAAGTTTCCAGGTGTTATAGGTGCTATAGATTGTACTCATATTCCAATTTCATCTCCTGGAACAAATGCAGAATTATTTAGAAATAGGAAAGGTTATTTTTCAATCAATACCCAGGTATGTTAAATTTTATATTATTCTTTATCAGTGTTTACATGAATAAATTCTGTATGTATTTAAATTTTAATAAATATAAATATTGCATCTTTCATTCAATTAATATTTTTAGGTAGTCAGTGATGCTAATTTACTAATAAGAAACTTAGTAGCAAGATGGGCTGGATCAGTACATGATTCTACAATATTTAATAATTCAGAATTATGTCTGAAATTTGAGAATAGAGTTCCTCCTGTCACATGCTATCTTCTAGGAGATGGTGGCTATCCCTGCAAACCATATTTGATGACACCACTTTTAAACCCAACAACAAATACAGAAGTAAAATATAATGCTGCTCATATTAAAACTAGAAACACAGTAGAGAGACTATTTGGAATATGGAAGAGTAGATTTCCTTGTCTAAGGTTTGGTCTTCGAACTAAACTAGAAACATCACTTGTTATTATTGTTGCTACTGGTGTTCTCCACAATATAGCTATACTATGCAAGGATGATTCACTTGTTTTAGATATGGTTATTCAGCCTGAAGAATGTAATGGAGATGATGCTAGGGATTGGACTGTTCAAGGTGGAACAGCTGTTAGGAATACACTAATACAAGCTTTCAATGAATGAGAAATATGTAGTTATTAATTTCTTATTGAAATTTGTATGTAATTACAGACTTTGATATGCATAATTCATAAATAAAGCATTATAAAATTCAAATAAAACTTTTGTAAAATAATTTTTTTTTTGTATAAATAAAATTTGTTACAATCTTCTGAAACTATGTTTTCTTAATTTTTATAATTCACAATTTTACAAATTTGTAATGATACAAATTTTATTTATATGATTGTGAATCATATAAATAAAATTTGTTTATATATATATATATATAATCTATTTGATTATCAGTTGTGTTTGATAAGTTAATTAAACACAATGCAAATAATATAGATAGTATTGTAATAATAATAATAATAAACAAAAGTTTCTTGGAAAATGTTAGTTTTTCAGATTATGCTTTTAGTTTTTAATAAATTAGTAGATAGGCTAGAAACATATTTCTAGTTAAAAGGTACAAAACTTGATAACAAAAATAAATAAAAATTATATACTGTATACTAGTCCTTTTGTTTCTTTTCCTTTAAAATGTTAATTTAAATTTTTAATCATTACATTAGTCTATTAATTGTTAATATGTTATCATGCTAAGTCAAAAAATCCCATTCAATATTAGTTTGGACCTCTGAAAGAATTCTGTATCACTTTCATTATATTTGAATGTGTAATTAGAATAAATTATTGAATAAAAATTATAAATAATTTTCAACAAAATAACTATAAAAATTAAATTTATTAATAAGACTATTTTTTAATGCTTTTTAATTTTTCTTGCAGTAGTTCTATTTTTAATTGTTGTTCTCTTTTTTCTTCTTGTAGGAGTTCAATTCTATAGTCATGCTCTCTCTTTCTTCTTAAATCTTCTTCCTTCATAAAATTCATTTTAGCTCTATGTTCTTCTTTTAAAAAATGCATTCGAGCTTTGTGATATTCTAGTGCATATTTATCAACAATTTTAAAATTACTGCGACGATTATTATTGGGTGGTGGTTCATTAGTTGTTGGATCATCAGAAAATTCAGATGGATTCACTAGATATAAATCCTGTATGAGTACCTGAAAATATGTGTGATATATAAATAAACATTATTTTAAAAGTAATATAGCTCTAAAAATTAATTTTTGTTTGACTAATTAGTTTTTAGTATCAAAACATTATTATTAAAATACTTTGTTTACATAATTTATATTAACATCAAATTATAATTGTTGATAAAAGTTTTATTACTTTTATGCTAATTTTACAGTACTCTATATACAAAGGATCACTAAAATACAATACTAAAAACAAAAGGAAATATGTATAAGGGGATTAATTAACTATTTAACACTTACATTTGATGCATTCAAAGTTTCACTATTTGATTCTCCTGATTGCTGTTGCAGTAATGCAGGAAATTCGGCCACAACATTATCTGAAAATAAATACCAATGCTTATAACTTTATTTAATAAATTGTCATTTATTATTATTAACTGCTTTATTACTGTTTAGTTTTGATCGAGTATAATTAGATAAACAAATTTACCTTCGACAGGGACATTAAAATCAGCATCGCTGTCAACAGGATTTGAGAGAGGCGTAAATTGCTCGGGGATTAAGGAGAAAATTTGTTGCGTAATTGGTGGCATTGGACACTCGATATCGGCACATATTCCTCCTCCAGTACTCATCCGTGCTCGCTTATTTGATGCCACATCTTTTCTTGCTTTTTGTTTTAAATTTTTCCAAAAAACTTTCAAGTTTTTTGTGTCTCGTTTACTAACCTCCGGAAACTTATTAAATTCTTCGGTTAGAATTTGCCACGTTTCATTTTTTTTCTTTAAGGATATGGCATTCGTCTCCTTTGATTCGATTATATTTTTGTATTTTTCGATTAATTCCATTAAGTACTCTGTTTCTCGATGAGAAAAATCGGGTTGTCGACTTCGTTTTTTGTTGTCTGCCATGTTTGTATCTAAGCGCGTATTACGTCTTTCCGAAATATCCAATCGAGTAACGTGTAAGAAAATTTTTTAGTAACGCTGGTGTCGAGATTATCGGATTCACTAATCCTGTTCTTAATATCTCGGGATTTACTAATCCTTCGCTAAAATTTGTTGGTGAAATCCTCGCGTCAGTAATCTCGGTATTAGTCTAATCGCTGGATTTACAAATACCACGATTAGGCAATGTTGGTGAAATACCCTGTAAGACTTATATGCATGGGTATGTTTTATATTTTTATGAATTCTACAAAACTTGTGTTTTTTATATGTATGTTATATTCTTTTTTAATGTTTTAGTTGGCTGAAGAGGGGCTTAAGAGCCCGAAATGTGTAAAATTTTCACACGTATCAACTAAATAAAGATGAGGAAACCCGCCAAGTGTCTTAATTTATAGCACTTTATTGTGTTAGAAGCATAAACAAATTGTAAAGCACGGTTTCATATCATCAAAATAAGAGCTGTATTTTATTAAAGATTTTATAAATAACAAGGAACAATTTCCCATGGACAAATGAGATACAATACAGTTTCTAATTGATGGATGTAGGTTTAAACCAGGGGTGTCCAACCCGCGGCCCAAGGCACATTCCAATGCAGCCCAATAAATGTATAAACAAAACTGACAAATTTTTTATTATTTATTTATTTATTTATTTCAACAGCATAAACCTCAAAAAAGAAGTTTCAGAAAGCCGTAAACCTTTATACATATTTTTTTTTAATAGAAAGGAAATATTTTCAAATACTTGTGTGAACTGCAGGGGAGGTCAGTTCACTCCACGTTTTCTTTAAAATTGCACTTAGTGTGATTTTAACTTATTGGATGTGCCCACATGGATCTAATCGCCTAGGAACTCCACAAAGGTTGTTGGTGGATTGAGGTATGTATACATTGGTTTAGATACCTCAATCCACCAACAACCTTTGTGGAGTTCCTAGGTGATTAGATCCATGTGGGCACATCCAATAAGTTAAAATCACACTAAGTGCGATTTTAAAGAAAACATGGAGTGAACTCCTCCGAGAGGGGGTAAGAACCCCACTTCTGACACCTCCGTTGAAGTTCTTTGTTCTGGAAAGTTGTTTGTTGGTTCGATCGGGATGCTGGATGAAGTTCGTTTCTTTTCCTTCCTTTGGGTTGAGGTGACGACGCTGCACTGTTCTTAGTCAAAAATAATAGTTAAAAGTTACTAATAACTGATTTAGGAAAATCTTGTCACTAAGTTTGAACTAGAGGTATATTGCGTTACAAAATTGTTGAATGACGTTCTCTCTCCGCAGTTTATTTCTACTCTATCGAATAAGGAAATATAAAATTCTTTCTCTACCACATATAGAATTTTAAGCTAACTCTAACTTTGAATATATTGATGCAAAATTAGGATATACATGGATATAATTGATATATAAACATAAAAATAATGCTTGGATATCGAGTACCCTAATAGCTTTGATTAATAAGTTTGCGTGCTAATTGGTTAGGGTCATCTCGGTTGTTTCCTCGGTTCTCTTGGGAAGTACTGGGTTGTATGTCAGGTGGAGGGTGATTTCCTCTTTCACTAAGGGATATTTCTTCCGGGTCATCTTCGGAAGGATGTGGTTGCTTCGGGGAACGAAGTTTCCTGTGATGTAGGTGGCATTGGAAGATATAAACAAGACAAAATTCCATACTAATCGTACCAAGGCAACTTGCAATTATCACCATTATCGTAGAGAGGTTGGATGAGGGAGTTGATTTGGTTGTCCTCCTTAATAGATGATTGAGGTCATAGGTAACGTCTGATAAGGATCAGTCAGCTAAAGTGATATCATGATCCAAGTTCAATTTTAGTTTTTCTTGAATTTGTGGTTCCATGAGACGTTCCTGAAGCAGTCAAATTTCCATTTGGTTTATAAGTTGTTCTGTGAAAATGTACATCGCGGACAGGAAAACACAGACACGTTTTACTAATTAAACAAGTTAAATTTCGCGCTAACATTAATATATATACAGAATAAGTTCGGATTCCTGCTGTTTCCTACAAACGTTCCAAAATCCTGAGCGATCAGATATACCAATAGACCGGTAGTTACTTTTCCAATAACTACCTCCTGACAAATCTAATTGCACGCGTAAACTTAAACTAACTTAAACTAAAAGATAGGAAAGGTAGAAGGGGAAGTAAGAAGAACTAAAGGACAGAGGGTACCCAATTTTTTTGTTGGTTCTCCACCATTCCTTGTCTCAGCTTCTTTCTGCAGCTGTTCCCCTTTTAAAACAATTCGGGTCTGTTTCGGGGTTTCCTTTTCTATAATCAACGATCGGATTCTTCTGCTGATCCGATTCTTATGGCCTCCTTCTGCAGCGCTTCCCGACTTTCCGTTTCGGAGTCTGCTGCCGCTCATCCTTCTCTCTCGGAGTTCGGCCCAAGAATAATTTTCGAATCTTTCTTTTTCCCCTCCAGCCTTGTTGTCGTCTATTGTTCTTGCCCTACCTCCTGATGGGTTAGGGGTGAGGCGAGTTCTCCAAAGTCCGAGACAAAGGAACAAAGAAATTGAAAGGAAGGAAAATTCTAGAATTTAAATTAAACTAAAACTATACAGGTTAATAATAATAATAATAATAAAAATAATAAACAGGCGTGTAGCCACAGTTCGATTTGCGGAACTACTAAGTGTTTTGCCATTTCCAGTTGTAAGATTGATTGTCTTTGGAAATGTGAAGTGAGGATAATTCCTGGTAGGTATCTTGTACATGTATTTGGGAGATTGATTATCCCAGTATGATTCAGTTTGTGAGTTGTAGATATATAAGACGATTTCTGAGGTCTAGTAGGACATCTAATAGTGATGGTGAGAGGTTTAGGTGTAGAATAAATCCAGGTTCCTTGTCGATTTATTTTCTTTAAAATAGGAGCATATCTTGCGACAATTTGTCAATTACAGAGTCCTACGGACTTGAGTTTCAATTCCGTTAAATAAAGCATACTCACAGCTTTGTTGCAGAAATCGTTGAATAGGAACATTTAATGAACAAATAGGAAAATGGTCTACCTTGCACATAGTTAATTCAAATCGTTGCAATAACATATATGACTGTCTATCCATAGACAGAGCGATTGTAGGATATTCGGTTTGAAATTGGAAAAAAGCTTTTAATGTAGGGATGTATGTTGGAAATTTAACAATTTCATACATATCAAAATATCCACTAGGGATGATTAAGGGAATTTTTGCAAAAATCCGTAGTCTGCCAGGTAAAGCTACTGTGATGGTAGTAATCCACTGGTAATATTTAAACAACGTATTTGGCTTGATAGGTTCGATCATTGAGTAGCCTTCCGGAAGTTGAAGTTGAATGTCTCGTAGAGTTCTTAACATAATTTCCCGTGAGATAAAATAGGTACTTAACCGACCTTGTTCGAAAATATCAATCGCTTCTCGTAACTCTACTAGTTGAAAATGGAACTCCTGAATAGAAAATTCTATCATTCGAAGAATTATTTCAAAGGCAAGTTCATAACGATGTAAGTTCATCAGTTCACCAAAGGACTCCTGTCATTTGAAGAGCACATAAATTTGATGTTGATTGGTCTTGCTTATATTTAAAGTATCATTTAATAATGTGGTTTGTGAGTGCAATAAATGAATGATTCCTTCGTTTCTTTGATTAAGTTTCGAAATCTCGTTGTTTAGCGTTTTAATATCCTCTGAGGTAACAGTTCCGAAGAGGAATTTAAGGATTTTCCCTCCAGCGTCTATTAAACCTCTCCGTTTTTTCTGAGTGGGCCGGAGAGTGATTAGAGTTGTGATTTCCTTGTATTCCTTATGATAATTAAGGAATGAGGCCCGTACTAACTCAAAGTTTTTTGTTGGGAGATTCCATTGTGTCTGGGGATCTCCATTCTGCGGAGGGGTATGTTTTTTCTGGTTAATCATTGATTCTACATAAGTAAGAGAATTTGAGATAAATTGAATCTGACGCTCCTGGTGCTCAAAGGTTAGATCATTCACTAAGGTCCAATGGCTTGTGGTTATTAGAAAATTTCCTTGGTGCAAGAAAATAACTCCTTTTGTGAATTCCTCTTGTCTTGCATGAGGTGCTGTCGTCTGGAGGAACCATAGAAAAATAATGGATATTTGCAGATAAATCATGTTGTCAATGAAGTATTGTATTCTTCCGAACACGGAACTACCGATAAGGTAGTTCCGTGTTCAGGTTCTTTCCCACTGAAACAGGGAAATATTGTTATTAATGCCAATGATTCTTCCCTTCGTTATGAATTAATTTAAATAATGAAAATGGATTTAATTAAAACACCTTTCTTATATGACCTCTATTTTTGAAATGAAATTAATGCCTTATTAATATACTACAACTCAATTTCTAGACCTACGGTGAGAATGATCGACTAGAAGTAGGTGAAGTAAATCGTGAAAGGTGATCACGGGTAGGTCGAGTCATAGGTTGAACTGAACTTGCTCCTTGACGTCGGAATGTATATGGAGGAGTTATTTCTAGTTCTCCTTCTGGTTCCGATTCTTTGCTTTGGTTAAGTTTTTCACTCTCGCTTTCACTTTCCATTTGTTCTTTCGGTAGCGGAGGAAGTATGGAAGACAAAATAAATTCATCCCAAGGATTGGTAATTGATTGTGGTTCTTCTTCCGAAGTTTCGATAGGTGATTCGAGGGTAAAGTCCGTGTTATCTTGCTGGGTTCTAAGTCGTTTGATTTTTCTCTCTCATAATCTCCGTTTCGGTCTCCTCTTCTGGGTCCTCTTCCGGGTTTCTCCGGTTTTTATTTCACTTCAGTCAGAACAGATGTCTGAATATTCTCAAATTTTCTCCCATTTATTTAGGGATATCTTCCCATCTCTTCCTTCGGCACGGCCGTAAGGGTGTGCAAAAATGTAATGCCTTGCTATTGGATAATAGCACCTGTCTATTTGCAAAATCAAATGTTAATTGCGCCGCTTTAATGATGTCGCGGCCTAAAATCCCGTCACAAGGGGTTGTGACTTCCTCTCTTACGATAGCACATTGCATGCGCATTTTCCTTTCCTGTAATTTCCATGAGGGTATGGCTGTTCC